GGGAAAGTTAGGGGTTGGTCGGTTGAAAGACAAGTAGGGGTTCGTTGGAGGGCTGGAACATTAACAAATAGCCAGGAACAACCGTTCGAGTGGAGACAACGAGTGGGAATATTGGCGGCAACTACGGGAAATGCGTGGGCAGCGAAACAACAAAGGAAGGATTGTCTTGGGGTTGGGACAATGAGGGGGATGGTTGGACATGGAAGATGGGAAGCTGATATGTGTGGTAGCAAGGTGAGAGCTGATTGAAAGGGATAGTAATAGGTGGAGTTAGTGGTGGATGGCGGCTGGAGTTGTAGAATGACAATAGGAGTGCAATACAATGGCTCTGGCAGTAAGAAAAGGTGGCGGGGGCAGCGAGGCGATGGTTGCAGATGATGGGAATCAAGGATAAATACTCTCTCATGAACAAGCTACAGTCGGAGCACTACTCGACCCTTGGAATATCACCACCTCATATGAGCTACACATGGAGCAACACCTACCATTGGATACATCCCTAAAAGGGAGAAACCCGGACATTGACGGCTGTCCTAAACAGAAACACAACAAAAACTAACCCTAGATTTTTTGAAACACAAATATATAATAATTGGATGAATAGGAGTGGGCCTAAGGCCAGACGGTCCTTCCACAAAATAAGAAAGCCTAGATTGAATTGATCCGGGTAAGCAACGTTTTGCGTGCTTATGTGCGAGACTTCCCACTTCCAATACCAAGCATGAGACATCTGTGTAACTATGTTTCCTATTAAAATCAATATTTTTATTTTACATGTTTTTTATAAAGAAACGTTTTTATAATAAAATCTTCAGTGTTCTTATGTATTCTAGAAATAATTGAATAACAAATATATTTTTCATTGGGAAGAATTGAGCTCAAAGGAAAGTTGAATTTAGCCAAGTCACAAGTTTCGTCAAACTTTGATCTAGTGGAGTGATAGGATATCTAGAAAGCTTAGTGTTCTAATTAGCATTTGGTTGGTTTTTTGATGTTCGATCATCAAATATCCATTGAGTGTCTGTTTGGGGCAGTTGC